AACAATCCAAATTATTTCCACCTTCTCCTCCGTCGTCTTCTCACTGCCTCTGCTTCTGAATGTGGGAGAGGGGGGGAATCACAACTCTGATGCCAAGTCTGATCCAGTCTGTTTCTAAGCCTTCTCCTTGTTTGCTCCCAGCCTTGATCTCCCCTCCTTTAATCTGTCAAGGTCCTTCAATCTCCCAACAACCCATTCCTTCTTGGTTGTTTTCGTCTCTATTCCATTCCTAATTCACACATAGTTGCCTAACCTAACTTGCCTACTTGCTTCACAAAAGGAAACATATCTGAAGGACTATCTATCTAACCGTTTATGCAACTCTCAAGATTAAGATTTATCCCACCAATTTCGAATTAGCTGTAAACCTTAAAAGCATCCCCTCTCTCTCTTCATCCAGCAGAGAACCTGGGTTTATAAACAAAATAAACATTAGAGAACACACACACACACACACACACACACACAGAGAGAGAGAGAGAGAGAGAGAGAGAGAGAGAGAGAGAGAGAGAGAGATCCACCTCTGCTCCCATTATTCCCATCAATTGCACTTGGCTTATTTGTGGATCATTACAGAATGATACCAAAAAACTGTAGGAATGTTAGTTTTTAATTCCATGGGCTCTAAAAATGTTCTGCTTTTAGGGCAAATATTTAAAGTTCTGGGTCTAATGTTCAGATGGACCAGTTTCATTCTGAGATGGCTACTCCTTGCTCCATAAACATCTACCACTCTGCAGTAAGCTATAATATTAGCTCCGGGGCACATTTCAGATTTTTATTCCAAATCTTTCCCCTTCTCTGCTTTTTCAGCATTTTAAAATAAATGCAGCCATTTATTTTTATAGATTCAGTGGTTGAGCTCCGAGTTTCGGTGTGTACTTTGATTACAAATGAGTATCTCCTTTCATAGTTCTGCATTGCTCATCTTCACACTCTTAAAACCTGAGCGCTCCCTCAATTAAAATTAACAAATTCAGCCTGCTGCAGAAGATCTAGCCTTCTGGAAATCTATGCAGAGTTTATTCAATGTGCTAAACAGGGGTGGGGGGTATATGTTTTGCAGTTAAAAATATCGTGCAGATTGAATAATTTTATATTGAAATTGTAGGTTCTCACGATACATTGAACCACGAACTGACCAAGTGGGCTTGGTTTGCAAAGCACACTAAGTTGCAAGCATACAAAACAAAGGTTACCATGATGGACGAAGGAAGTTACAAGTAGCTGTCTGAGCTAGTTAAATGTGTCATGTGAATACAATCAAGTCGTTACATAACTTACTTGCTTTGATTTTTCTCTCCCTTTTTATTTATCTTCATTTTTCCATTTTTAGGTTCCATTAACACTCAAGTTCAGTGAAAAGCATACATAACTAGACATTTTTAATTCTTCCTTCAGCTACAGCTTGCAGTTTTAGTTTTTGTATTAAATTTGGTGAGATTGATGGCTATATAAATTTGATCAATCAATCAATAAAATAACCCATGGTATTTTTCTCTGGTGACATAAGCATGTTATGTACAACACATAAACAATGTGAGGTCTAAGACACATGCCAGTTTACATCCAAATATACATCACTGGTTCATCTTTTAACTGGACAGGGGTACCAAATTGGTTATCACAAAAATAAGGGGGCAATTGCAGTACCTAGTGTAATGGAAGGGGTATCCACCCTCCAAAGCTACTTGGGTCAAGACCTGGAATGTCAAGGTAGATAGGTTGGTCAAATAGTTTCATGACATGTACCCCCAGAAACCTAAAGGGCCCTCAGGGGGAGGGACAGGAGGTTAGACTGAACCTTAAGTAATCTCTTTGCAATTTATTTTCTTTGCAGGATGTCCTTTTCAATTAAGGGGGACCACCTGTCAAACCTGAAGCTGACCTGACCAAGGCCATTTTGAGGCTTCAGTGTTGCCACACTGGAGCTGAGGGATAGGAAGGGAGGAGGGAATAGAGATAGCTGGGGCTTGTAGCCAAAACAAAATACTTTCTCCTGGACATTCCCACAGGTGGTTGGAGAGAGGAAGTTATTAGGCAACTGGATGACACTGTGATGACTGATTGTTTGGGGAAGGGGGAAAACTTTTACTTTTAATTAGGGGGAAGTCATGGGAACATTTAGTGTTGGTTTTCACCAGCCTGTACCAATATGATATACCCAATAAATTTGTTATTTGAGGAATTTACCTGCCTCGGAGTTCTGTTTGCTATGGGTATATTACTTGGAACTCTGACACCCAGGTTGTCGGCTGGATGCTTTTAAGGTTTATATTTAATTTGAAATCAGTGGGATAAATAGTTCAAAATAATCTTGAGAGGTTGCATAAATGGATAGAAACTAATCGAACACAATCTAAAAGAGACAAGGGCAAAGGAAACATAAATCAAAGACATAGCTATAGAATGAGGGATATTGCCTTGGTACTAATATATGGTAACATCAGTTGTAAAAAATATTTTGACACAGTAATTGATCGCCAACAGTATGATGCGGCTGCAGAGAAGGCACACAGTATGTCATTTTAAGCTGCATCAGCAGAACTATAAATTCTAAACCATAGAAAATTATCATTCCGCTCTATTAGACTCTCATCAGATCCTACTTGAAATTTGTGTCCAGTCCTGACCACCAAACTTGAAAAAGAGTGAAACAAATTCAGAGATAGGCAACAAAGATAATTCAAATAACTTCAAAGAATGTCATGCAGAAAAAGGTCAAGACCTATTATTTCTTATTCAAGAGTTCAGGATATAAAATAATGGATTTAAGTTTTTTTCCCCTTCCTTTCAACTTTGTTTGATTCTCAGAGACTGTCTGATCATGTCCCTGCAGTTTCCTTGGCAAGAATTTTTCAAAAGTGGTTTGTTGTTACTCCTTCTTAAGGCTGAGAGAAAGCGACTGGCCCAAGGTCACCCAACTGGCTTCCATGTCTAAAATGGGACTAGAACTCATGATCCCCCTGGTTTCTAAGATAATTCCAAAGAATTTTTTTTAAAGAAAAGAAAATCCTGCATAATAGTAATAACAGTTTGATAGCAGAATCAATTAACTCAGAGAGACAAAAGGTTATCTTTAGTAGATGTGATCAGGTGTAGATAGCTGTCTATTTGAGATACTTTACTTTGTATAATGTCTAAATTATGTGAAGTATTAATTGCATTCTGTTTTAATCAGACCCCATCTCAGGTATTATGCCGAGTACCGAGAACCATATAAAAGAATTCAGAGGAATCACAACAGTTAAGAGAACAACAAAATGATTGGACGATTAGATACTTACCAGTATAAACTGAAGTAGCTGAGCAGTGAGCTGAGCTTCGGAGAGAGAGAAAGTGACTTGAGAGGGCTCATAGTGGTGATATCTATTTGAGTACTGATAGATACTCAAATACACACAAGGATGCCACGTAGAAGGTCAAGACTTATGATCTCTTTTGCAGAATGTAGGATGGGAAATAGGGATTGCAACTGAATGTTAAAAAACATCCTATCTATAAGAACTGTACAATAGTGAAAACAATTATTCATAGATACTGTGGTCTCCATTCATTGCATAAAGGTAAAGGTTCCCCTCGCACAATGTGCTAGTCATTCCTGACTCTAGGGGGCGGTGCTCATCTCTGTTTCAAAGCCGAAGAGCTAGCGCTGTCTGAAGACGTCTCTGTGGTCATGTGGCCGGCATGACTAAACGCAAAAGGTGCACAGAATGCTGTTACCTTCCCACCAAAGGTGGTCCCTATTTTTCTACTTGCATTTTTTTATGTGCTTTCAAACTGCTAGGTTGGCAGAAGCTGGGACAAGTAATGGGAGCTCACCCCATTATGTGGCACTAGGGATTCAAACCACTGAACTGCCGACCTTTCGATCGACAAGTTCAGCATCTTAGCCACTGAGCCATCGCGTCCCTTTTTTCATTTCATGGATTCAAGTAAATTAAACAGCTTCTGTATATAATGGAGGTCGGATTTGATCTACCTCCCTGATTTATTGATGGTAGCTTTGACCAAAAGACTGGATTTCTGCTTGTGGCAACTAGCACAGTCCAGGAAGCCAATTTTTCTTGACATCTAATTAGTTACACAGTGTAAGTCCTATATCGCTCTCCTGGAAATGTAACATTTTACTTATTGGGGCACACTTCTGAAAAGGTATGTGCAGGGTGACCATCAACTAAAAAAATGATACTCATATATTGCAACTCATTTTACTTCAGAGCAGAGCAGAGCAGAGCCTCCTATGTCAATCCCACATGTAAAAAAAAACAAACCCCCCCCACTTTCCTCAAAGGTCTTTGTCAGACGTATCAGACCTGCATGTGTAAAATGCAGCAAAATAATCTACAAAAGAGATCAAAGTTATTTGTACTGAACTGTCTCATTCATGTTATCCTATGCCAGTGATGGCTAACCTTTTTGCCGCCGCATGCCAAAAGTGGGGGAAGCGCAGGGGGGTCATGCCCATCATTCAATGCGCCCCACCCACCCCCTGCGCATGCATATGCGACCCCCCCTACTCCCCTCAGTTTTGGCATGTGATGGCACGGTGAGCCCAGTAGGCCCATTTTTTTGCCCTCCCCAGGCTCCAGAGGCTTTCTAGGAACCTGAGGAGGGTGAAAACAGCTTTCCCCATCCCACTGGTAGGCCCTCCGGAGGCCAGAAACGGCCCGTTTCCCGACTTCCAGTGGGCCCGGAAGGCCTGAAAAACAGGTGGCTGACACATGCCTGCGTGCTGGAGCTGAGCTAGGGCAACACTCGTGTGGCCACAGATATGGCACCATGTGCCACATGTGGTACGCGTGCCATAGGTTCGCCATCACGGTCCTATGCATTTCATTGTTCTATGTTAAACACACCCATGTATTTTCTATCACAACACCAGATAAGAGGATCTTGAACTTGAACTGAGGGTTGGACTAGAAGACTTCCAAAGTCCCTTCCAGCTCTATTCTGATTGATTGTACTTTTTGAACAATCTCACCTGAAAATTTGCTCACCTGAAAAAGTTGCTGCATTTTCATAAAATCGTGAATAGTTAACCTGTTTTCAAGATGTTCCTGTTTTTTTGCAGTTCCACAATCCATAGCTTGTTTTTCAGCACTGGCCTTTGTGGCTTTTGTCGTTTTATATGGTTTATTATTCATGCTAATTAATTTTGTAGAAATTAATATTTAGTTGGAATTCCTTGCAGCTTCCAGGCTCTTCTGGAACTTAATTTCATTCACTAAGAATAATTTTGGATAATTCAGCACAAGTTAAGTCTTGTTTCTAGAAAGTTTTCTTGAAAAAAATAAAGAAAAATGGAGTTTTAAAAGAGGGGAAAAAATTAAAAAAAATATAATTAGATTTCTCTTCATTATTACTTCTGACATCAGTTTACACAGGAAAACCATATGTAAACCAGAAAAAAGACATAAAAATCTATACTGAATTCCATGCCGAACACAATCAACAAATTTATAATCATTTAGTTTTGTTGAAAAAATAATAGCACCTGTTCACAAAGATGAAATGAGTTTTGCTTACTTACCTTATGATTAACATGTCATTTTTTAAAATAAAGAATCCATTATTTTTTCCAAACAGAGATGATTAGCTTCAGCATTTCATTTGAGTATCTACTTTATTGAAGCTGCGAACATTTGGGAGGCTGTTTGAAATTCCCTTTTCTTTGAACTTACAAATGTTTCTTAGCAACAATTGCACAACACAAGCTAAACCAGCTTCCTTCACTGCTCCACAAAAAGGAAAGAAAAAAAAAATATCCTGTTTAGCTGTTCTGAGCAAAGACTTTCAAAGCAAGTCACAACAATTAGTGTTTTTATAAGGAAAAAAAAACTTAAAATAATTGGTTAAAATGAAGGTAAGTGTCTGCTTTTTGTATACTTATTAATGTGTGATGAACTTAATAAGAGTGTTCATAAACACCTTAATGCACCTGCTTGCAGTATAGCACATCCATAGATCAAGAGCGTGGATGCAATAAAAACCTGAAGATTATCTTCGCATGAAGTGTTAAGCTGGAATGTGCTTTCTACCAGAACCAAAAACTGGAGTTGGGAGAATGAATGAATGAATGAATAAATAAATAAATAAATAAATAAATAAATAAATAAATAAATAAATTTATTTATTTATTTATTTATTTCTATACTGCCCTTCTCCCGAAGGACTCAGAGCGGTGTACAGCCTATTAAAAGCACAAAGACAAACATCAGTTAAAAATAATTAAAATTATTAAATAATTTCGGCTCAGATTTAAAACCCCAAAAATTTAAAACACCCAATTTAAAAATCATTACATTGATAGACCGGCCTGGTGGAACAGCAGGATCTTGAGGGCACAGTGAAATACACGGAGGTTGGAGATCTTATGCATTTCCGGGGGCAGTTCATTCCACAGGGCAGGGGCTCCCACAGAGAAGGCCCTCCCCCTGGGTGTCGCCATTTGACATAACTTGGCTGATGGCACCCTGAGGAGATCCTCTCTGTGGGAGCGGACTGGCCGGTGGGAGGCTGTTGGTGGCAGAAGTCAGTCTTGAAGGTACCCGAGTGCTATGCCATGGAGCGCTTTAAAGGTGATAACCAACACCTTGAATTGCACCCAGAAGGCCACTGGGAGCCAGTGCAGCTCGCGCAGGAGGGGTGTCACTTGGGCATAACAGGTTACGCCCATAACCACCCACGCGGCCTCATTCTGGACCAGCTGGAGCCTCCAAATGTTCTTCAAGGGAAACCCCATGTAGAGAGCCTTACAATAGTCCAGCCGGGAGGTGACAAGGGTGTGAGTGACCATGCGCAAGGCATCCAGGTCTGGCGAATCAGGTGAACCTGATAAAAGGCCACCCTGGCCACAGCTGTCATATGCTCTTCTAAAGACAGCCGTGCGTCCAGGAGGACACCCAGATTGCGAGCCCTCTCTGTGGGGGGCAGAGATTCACCCCCAATAGTCAGCGATGGCACCAGCTGACTATATCGGGACGCCGGAAGCCACAGCCACTCGGTCTTGGAAGGGTTGAGTCTGAGCCTATTTCTCCCCATCCAGACTCGCACGGCCTCCAGGCAGCGAGACATCACATCAAGGGCATCGTTGGGATGGTCTGAAACATACATTGCAACTAAATGTAATCAACATTAGATCTCCAAGAACCAAAAAAACTAGACACCAATGATGAACTTCAAAGCAGTGCAGGATTCTGGAAGGGAAACACCCAGGATTTCATTCAGCAAAACGAATGAAAGGGCTCCTAAATTATTAAAATTAAAACTCATAGGGGAAAAAAAAACCCTTCCCACAAAAGACTGACTCACTAAACTTAATACATTTTTAAAAATTACGTTTTCCTTAAACAGTAATTTGCTTTGAAACGTTGCTATTGAATTAAATAAGCTTCAGAGGAATTTTGAGACTGAACAAAGACACAGAGGCACATATAGAGCCCCAGGTGCCCACTCTTGAAATCAAGGATGTACACACTGCAGAATTTAAAGTGGTCTAATACAACTAAAAAGCACAGCCACCCTCTAATAAATATATTGATAGAATCCAAAAGTATCTACGGGCAACACTACTTCAAATTCCTCCTCTCCCCCAGATGCTTGGTATAATGGACCATCTTATCTAAGAACATTCCTTATCCCATAATAAGAAGACCCAACCTAGCATGATTTTTCAGGATGCTTGTAATATAAGCCCTACCCCCAAAATAAGCCCCAGTTAAGATCATCAGCCAGATACATTTAGTACCATATTTTCCCCAAAATAAGACCTAACCGGAAAATAAATGCTATTGTGTCTTTTGGAGCAAAAGTGAATATAAGACCCAGTCTTATTTTCAGGGAAACACAGTATTATGTTTTAGCAATTAAAGTACCAGGAGAATCAATCTTTCTTTTTCCCTAATCACAAACAAATCTAGATGGTTGAGGATCAAAAAGGAGAAAGATTAACATATGCATAATTTGAGACCTATGTTATCAAAAATGGATCGTCAGACTAATATTAAAAGCCATTTAAGAAAAGTAACACTGTTTATTGTTGTATGAAACTTTATTTTATATTACAACAGTTTGCAAGGATGAAGTTATGTTCTATCTGCTCTTTCCTGCTATGTGCATTCATGTGCGTATTACCCTTCATAATTTATGTAAAATAACTGTCTTATAAAACATTTAAGATGACAATCTAAATATTTAATATAAAGAGGTAACATATAAACCTGTAATAATTTCCGGGCAGCAAAAACTCAAACAGCAGAAATTACATTATTTTTTAAAAAACTGCACTGTAGCACAATTATTAAAAAACCTAGGTATAATAAAACATTTGCTTAAAGCACAATAAAGGGGTGCCAACAAAGGTTTTTCAGAATTGGGGGTTCCCACTTGGTAAGATCATTCCAGGGCAGCCGCCTTCAGCAGCAAAAGAATCCCATAATATTTGTTTAATTTTAAGGTTAATTTTCTTAACTTGGTTAATGGTTAAGGCATCAGGCTAGACACTGGGAGACTGTGAGTTCTAGTCTCACTTTAGGCACAAAGCCAGCTGGGTGACCTTGGGCCAATCACATTTTCTCAGCTCTAAGGGGAAGCAAACAGCAATTCACTTCTGAAAAACCTTGTCAAGAAAACTGCCAGGACTTGTTCAGACAAGAATCAGACATGGTTTGAGTTAAAATTAGTTCATACCGAAGGTATCCTAAACCAATGTTTCTCAATCTTAGCAAGTCTAAGATATGTGGAATTCAACTCCTAGGGAGAATTTTGGGTGTTGAAATTCAGGAATTTTAAGATTGAGAAACACTGACCGAAACAGAAGGACTTAGGCCCATCAAAAAAAAAAAAGTAATTTCTGTAGAGTTCAATTTTAACTACCGGTAACTGGATTACTGCACTAAAAAATCCATATGTAATTGTTGACTAAAGGCTATTTTTTCACCAGCTTTTTAATCAAAATGTGAAACCAGACACGACACTCTGTAGCTCCATTGGGAATGTTCTATCTAACTCAAGAATCTTCTCTCTTCAGTTACATAATCTGTTCATGCTTGAGGAAAGTTCTCTTATGCTGTTTCCATGACAGGAAACAGCACAGATCACACAGGGACTTACTCCAGAATAAACATCAGTTGGAAAGTCAATGAGGCACTGAAGCAGCATGATTTAGCTTTTCCGAAATGTTGGTGTTTGCAAAAATAAAGATGGTCACAGATTTACAAGGATCTAGCTGACTTTTGATGGCTACATTTCAAGTAAAACAGAATGCTCTGATCTTTTCCTGTGTGTTAGACATCTCATTTTCTATTAAGAATCATGGGGTCCTCTTTGTAGCAGTCATTGTGCCTAGAAACTACTTTTGAGGATTAAGCTTTTTGTTTTGTTTTGTTTTTTCTCTGAAGTCAAGAGCTGTGGTCAATTTCTCCCCTGTTGCTGAGATTAATCCAAGGATATATAAAAAATGTCACGGCTTTACAATGAAGGCCTGTGCTGCATCCCTGTGAAATAAAAAATTCTAATCAATTTTGGTACAGAACAATAAAGAAGAAATTTGGAATTCGGATAACGCTTCCATCTGCTCTGTATCAAAGACCACCTGAAGCTAATAAATAGATACGGCAGTCGGATAGACAGTTAGATTTACATATACAAAGTGAACAACTATGGAATGATTTAACATGATGAGGTTAAGCCTAGTTAACATCAGGCAACTTCCTATTTATTCCAGGCAACTTCCTCATTTATGACAGGAATTGTATTGTAGTAGTCCTCAATGTACAACCATTCGTTTAATGACCATTTGAAGTTACAACGGCACTGAAAAAGCAGCACTGATTTAAGATAGTTTCTCATTGCAGCATCCCCATCGTCCCATGATCAAAATTCAGAAGCTTGGTAACTGATATGAATTTATGTCAGTTGCAGTGTCCCAGGGTCATGTGATCACAAAGTCAATGGGGAAGCCAGATTCACTTAACGCGTTATTAACAACTGTAGTGCTCATTTAACAATTGTGGCAAGAAAGGTCGTAAAATAGAGCAAAGCTCACTTAACTGACTTGCTTCGCAATGGAAATTTTTGACCCAATTGTGACTGTTACATTGAAAACTACCTGCAATAAAATTCACTATTGCAACCATGCCTGAATAAATTGAATGCAATCTTAGCCACCTTTGGCCAAATTATGTTTTACTGAATCAGACACAACTCCAAAGTTAAAACACAGCAACTCTTTGAGGAAATTTGAATGTATACTTATTATTAATGGAGAGGTGTTCAAGCTAAGAAAAAAAAATGAATATGGCAGATGCCAAAGTTTAGTTACTCTTTCAATCAGACTTTGTAACACCTCCTTTGGCGGGAACAACAGCTTCTGAACATTTTCTGTAGCTGACTAAAGTTTGACTATCAGTGAAAAAATTGAAGCTCAAAAGAGGCTAGATATTCTAGTAAGACTAAAGATACATCTCCAAAACAATGAAGTCCTTGCAGGGAAAAAGGTTTTGGAGTAGCCTTCATAGTCACCAGAGTTGAGTATTACTGATCATCTGTGGAGATTTTAATATACAGGGCATGCATGAAGATCTCAGAATTTTTGAGCTGGAAAACTTCTGCTAAGAAAAAATATGACTGGTGGTGGCAGTGGAATTGGAATAGAAACTACAGGGTGCCTTTAGAAGGTGTTATTTATATTCAGCAGCCGAAATCGCATTGCTGAATACTTGCCATTGTGCTGCTGAAATTTAACATCATAATTTCAGGAGTCCTGAACGCTTTCTTATCGTATACCTATTAACCAATACCCAGATAAGAGAAACTAGCATTTAGATTAGCAAGAACACTGTAATCAAGAACACACAATACTTACACAAGCCAAGATTTAACAGGACAACTGTTACAGTCACTAAACAATACTTTGTATTACAATAACATGTCTGTGAAATGAAAACCAAGCTCAGAAAGACTTGCTTGTGGTGAGCACCTGGCAAACTGAAGATGTCCCAGAAGCAGGGATGACATTATAGCAAAAATTGCCAGCCAGATTTATTATTAACAAACTTATATGAATGCCCAATCCACACTTGGGTGTCTTTTGAGTGGCTTATAACATTAAAAACCCACAACATAAAAACCTATAGAACCCCACACCCATGGAAGCAACACAATCAAATCAACCATTTGATCAGCTCAATTTGTGGTCCCCACACCGCTGACAAAACCAGGTCTTTTAGCCTTTTGAAAAAGTAGCAATGCTGACTTCCGGCTGACGTCATGTCGAGATCGGACACGAGTGGGTCTCGGTGCTCCCACGCCGAGTTCTCCTTGTTGGAGGGCTCTGAAAGGAGCTAAAGCCACTCTGTGAAGAGGGGTGTCCTGTAGGTTAGAGAGAGCCGCAACTCTCCTGCTTGACCCAGGGCTTCTTCCTTCTCACCCTTGACAAGAGGCAGCCATCATGGTGGCCGTGAAGCTGGGCAGCCGAGGCAACAAAGAAATGTGCAGCAGGTGTAGATAATCAGTGCCTGGAGCTGGGTAAGAAGTTTTTTTTTTATGTAGACCCTAACTTTAAAAGAAACAAAGAGAAGAAAATCCAGGAAGAGACTCTTAGATATTAATGTATATTTAAAAATAAAAATCTAATAAAACTAAAAAAAAGAAAGAAAAAGTAGCCGGCTGGGGACCAATCGTACTTCAGAAGGAATATGTTTCACAGAGAAGTGGCCACCACCAAGAAGGTCCTCTTTTGCAGAGCAGAATCTCTCTGGCATGCAATATTTTTTGCTTTCAAAGAGGCTGGGTGAAAATGGACTTTTACTCAGCTTTTTTGAGAGAGCTGCCTGCCTCCCTTTGGAAGTCAGTTCTTTAGCTCCATTACAACATGCACAATCCCTTAACAATCCCACTGGGGAAAGCCATGATGTGGTCATAAAGTCAGGTCAGGTTGTGTTGTTACCTCTTTTATCAGTATCACTCTTACATTTTTGGCTCAATCATGGTCATAGGTTGAGGACTACATATACATGATGCTGAAGATTTTTCACAGTTACAAAAATGTACAAAAAAACCTCTATTAAAAGAGTTATATAACCAATGTTTAACTAAGACGCTGCAAAAGATTATTCTTATTTTTCTTGCAGTAGTAGTGGTGAAAGGAGAAAATGACACAAACGCATAATCACAATATAGATAAGCTGTTCACAAAGTCAGATGTAAAAAGGAGATCCTAGCATAACAGCTCTACAACAAATGAATGAATTTCTGTTGGAAATCAGCAGTCCTATCATGACAGCTCAGAGTAGCGATCATTCAGATTGTTATACTAATATTAAAAAGCATAGATATTAAAACCATTTATTTAAACATACATATTAAATAGCACCATTGCCCAAATGAGTAGACTTGATCTCTTGCATTGATATAACTGCAATACTTTATTAAATATAATTTCAGCACAGTGATACGGGTAGTCTGCATGTTATCTTCACCTCTCTTTCCTTCATTGGTTTTTTGTTATCAAAATTAATTAAATGCCAAACTCCTTTGGGCAAACTCAATTTTTACTTCTGTTACACTGCCAAATGCTAGAGATATTCCCACCAGAATATTTACATCAACAAAAGTAATTTCTTAATTTTCAGTGTAACTAAATTAGTACACCAAGGAATGTACTCCATTTATCTAATGGAGGCATTGCTGATTGTGAATAGCTCAGAAATACACCTCTTAATAAATCACAGTCTCCCAATTCTGAATAATTTTCACAGGTTGTATAGGCGAAACAAACATACCCCATACCCTGGCACTAGGTACTGTGTTTCCCCGAAAATAAGACCCTGTCTTATATTTTTTTGAACCCTGAAATAAGCGCTTGGCCTCATTGACATGTGCTCAAAAGCCCGATTGGGCTTATTATCAGGGGATGTCTTATTTTGGGGGAAACTTATCAAATGTACTAACAGTGATGCTGCATAAGTTCATATATATAAAACTATTTATTGACAACTGCACACCTACTATCACTCCCCAAAGAGGTTCTGCAGTTCACGCCACCGTTAATGATGAGTTCTTTGGTAATATAATAATTCACTTTAAAAATAATTTGGAAAAAAAAAATCAAGCTTTTGAGGGAAAGACTCAGTAGTTAAGAGTGAATTTCTGTGCAGGAAACTTTGAAGATTCGATCTTCTTAAAACGACATCATTCTTTGTATGAACTCTGAAGACGTATGTACATCTCCCCGCTGATTTTAGCTTCAAGGACACCATTATGGGATAAAATTATAGAGATAAACAGATGTAAACTATTTATTGAATATTTGCCACCAATATTGTTAAATACATAATTCTGTTGCAGTTTTTCGCTTTCAAGTTAAAATGTCAGAAACAGAACACCAAATATTTACAGTTCTTATAAGGAATGTTACATAATGACACATTAAGGCGTAAATTCTTTTGGCTTATAATTCTGAAAAGAATAATAGCAAAAAAGTGATGCAAAATCTTCATTGTGTGATTATGATTAAGCTATGTTTTTACAAAAATATGGTGTAAGATGGCAATAAATCCCATTCAAAATCCTGCATTAAGTCCCTTCAATTGGGATTGATAATTTACACAGTCAAAACTTTAAAGTTTACATATAAAGGTATCCTATCCATCATTGAAAAGTACAGCTCTCAACATATACAGTTTTTTTTTCAGGCCACAGTTTTGAAGGTCTGGAGTATCAAGTTAGTTTGATGAATTAGTCGGTTGGCACTTATGAACACATTTATTGCCCTATTGTAAAGAAAAACAGAAAGAAGATATATTTTAGCAACAAGATAAGCTTATACAAAATAGAAAGCAATCATATTAAATGCAATTAATTTTTACAATGAAATCCTATGCACTGCTTCTGGAGTGCAGTACTTAAATATACAACAATAATTCACAAAGGAAGTTCAACAATATGAAATTCTGGTTGAAGGTTTTTTAATACTCTTAACTCTGAAAATAATTAGAGGTGTTTTCTTAAATGGGAAAAAAATACTGAATTCTTTATTAAACCCTAAGAGCTAAATCACAATACAAAACTAAATGTTGCAGTTAAAGAATCAAGTTACTGCATTGCAATCCTATCCTTACTTACCAGGGTCAATGAATTCAATGGGCATTGTTTCTGAATACAAATGTATCCCGTGGGATCCTTGGTGCTCTCTGAACTTGTTGCTTTCTTGCAGACGTTTCATTACCCAGCTAGGTAACATCACCAGTGCTGAGCTCAGATTGCTCAAGGACCCCAATTCAACCTTGAACTACAAATATTCTTTTCTATTGATACATACCATTCCCTTGTAAATCAATCAAGTTCCTGCTAAAGTGATCCTAGTTATGCAAAATGGCATGTAGGATTGGGATATGAATTCCCCCTCTTTTATAAAAGCTAGTTATTCCAAAACATTGCAATCTGGTAAAAACATCCATTCACATTCACTGCTTTAAAAATGTTCAGTGAGGAAAGTAGACAAACTAGCAAAGGAGTCCACAGATACGTTTATCAGGAAATATTATTTCCAGATCATGAAAATAAAAAAAACCAGAATCTTGTAGGATAATGGTAAAATTTGTGCAATATTGGCTGAAAATGCTCATGTTTTCTGGGCTGATGAGGAACATACACTTGAAAGAAATTTATAAGCTATAGTGAAGATGATTACTCCACAACTTGTTAATCATTTGCCTCTTCTGTTACATTAAGGATTATAATGTTAAGACAGAGTTTGATAATTGTAACAAATCAGTAAAAATTGTAGCAAGGTTTTGAAGGAGCTGGAAAGGAGCCATCTGAGGCATCAGCTTGCTGTTTATATTATCTTTTCAGTCAAAAGAAGCATTATAGACAATTATAAATTTATACACATTCAAATAAATTAGATCCCAAAGGGTTTTTCAAAACACATTTTGAATGAGATTACCTACACTGGAAAAACTAATGACAGAAATTAAAAATTGATAAAGAACATAGAAATAAAGTCTGATGGTCTAAAGGCAGAACTCTGAACGGTTATATTGATATTAGAATGAAATTAACACAAGGAAAAAGCCAGAAAAGAGATCCACATCATAAAAGAAGGAAAAGTACAACTGACTCAGAACTATACAGCGGGCACAGCTATAAACTACATACAGGAAATCAAAAGCTCAGAATTAACTGAGATTAGGGTAAAAGGTACTAAAAATAACACAAAAAATAGTTTCTTTAAATATGCTCAAAATAAAAGGAAAAAGAATCAATAGAGCAGCTGCCCAGTGAAAGTAAAATGCTGTTAAGTTAACAAAGAAAAGGCAGTCCTACTCAAATCCACTTGTGTTTAGTTGTTTCCAAATAAATCTCTAGGAAGAAATTAATTACATCCTGTTTTATTTAGGGACCTACATGACTGTCTTTCTGAATTCAAGTATGATGTTTCAGAAATCCTACAGAAAAATAAAGCACCTTTTGATCCCTAACTATTCAGTACTACTTTCAAAAAAAGAGGGGAAAGAAAAATCCAGCAAGATCTAGAACAGTTGTTCTGATCTCAATACTTGTAGAAATCCTAAAATAAACCATAAAAAGGTAGGTATCCTTGAAAAAAACCCCAAAATTGTTAGAAACTAGCACTCATTTCTCAACAATGAAACATTTTGGTTGGTTAATTAGGTAAATTCCTTAATAGATTGTTATAAAACATAACATGACCAAAGCAATTAATAAGAGTACCTCAAAACGTTACCTAAGTGTGGGTTAGACAGTGTAATAATTAAGTAGATATATACCTAGATCTAGAAAATTATAATCAAGAAATGCTCATCCATGTTTTTGCAACAAATTGGACTGTGATATCAAGTGGTGTGTCATAAAAATCAAATGTGGCCCTTAATATTTCATTAAGGATTTGAGTGAAGAGGTAGAAATGCCTACCAAATTTATATATTATACAAAACTGGGACTTCAAAAATTCAAATTCAATTCAAAACAATATTGATAGTTGTAGAAATAGGTAGAATGCAACAGAATGGGATTTAACAGAGATAAATGCAAAGTTCTTAACTCAGAAAATATACACCAAATGGACAAATATAGGAGGGAAGATACTAGCTTGGTAACAAGCACTTGTGAGAAAAGATTTTGGTGCTGTAGTTATAACTGCATCTAAATCAGCAATGCATGCTGTTATGAAGACAGCAAATGCAATTTTAGACAGCATAAATTTCCAAATAATGGAGAATAATAGTTTCATTCCATTCATCTCTGATCAGATTCCTCTTTAAGACTGGGTTAAAAGTATAGCAGTAGTCCTTGACTTACGACTGCAAATTGGACTGGATTTCTGCTCATAAGTCATAACTTATGTCATAAGTCAAGGCACCCAACATTTTTTGCAATGTTTGTGAAGCAAATCACAGTGGTCATTAAGTAAATTTGTGGTTGATAAGCAAATGCTGTTAAGGGCAAACCCATTCTCCCAAATGGGTGATCTTTGCCAAAAATAAAGTTCATAAATTGAGGATTACCTGTACTCGTAAAAAGTTGAAACAACTTCAGAGACAAGTAACAACAACGATCAAGGGATTACATATTAATTTCATTGAAGAGAATTTGAAGGAGAAGAATATTTTTAACATTTCAGCATTCATGAAAGATGACCCAGGAGGGATATGATAGCACTTTGGAGGACAAAACATTGCAGTCTGTTACTTCTTATTTAAATCAGAGGAAGTTAAATTATATATTAAGACTAAGAATACTTTGACAGTGTGGTCAGCTATCTAAAGAGAGATGATTGTGAGCAGATGGAGATTAGATAGCCACCCAGCTGGTATGTTTAATTTCCATTTCTGAACTGAAATTCATAACTAAATGGATTTTGTTATTGAACTCTCTTAATGAACTCTCCCAACTCTACTCTATTTCTATTTAAATAAAAAACCCAGAAAACAACCCCCACCCCCCAAAATCTATTTTACTTTCTTTGTTTATCCATGAGCAAACAAAGTTAATTCCTTGGATTAATAATTCAGAATAATGTCTTACTATAAATGCTAAATAAATGGAACAGTGGAAAAAAAACCTGGAGATTTTTGGGGTATTAGCATTGTTTGGCTAGCTACAATCACAAGCAAGGTCAAAGAACAGATGGGATTTTTCCTCCTCACTACACAGTATTAAAATTGTTCTTCGGCCGCTTCTAATATGGATTTTATTCTATTGCTTTCAAAGCGCTACTCATAGATTTTGCTTCTCTTTTTCATACCCACACAGAATTTGGGACTATATTTATGTAACTTGCATTTATGTAAAGCTTGGAAGCATTAAGAGTTTGCTACTGCCCTGTTCCCATTCCCCCGCTCCACCCAAAATTCTAATTGCCAACAGTACTGGAATTCCAGGTGGTCTCATATTTATGTACAAACCAGACAAATGTCCTGCTACTATATATACCATGTCGAGGGAGCCCAATGTCCTGTAACCAATTATGGCCAATCAGATGATTCTAGGAAATCTGGAAAAAGAGCCGAAATACAACAGTCTTCCCCTCCAGATTTTTCCTCCAACAATTGTTATTCAGAAGCACACAGTGACTCTGTATCTAAGCAACAGCTATCATACTTAGATGCGAGTGGTGGTTCTCCCTTTTATCAGCCTTTGAAAATAAATTATTTTTCTGTTGTGGAAATCCCATTTAGCTCATAGTCAGTAGGAGGCAGCAAGCATGTAGCCAACTTTCTCTATTCCTATAAAAACAACACAGAGTCAGAGTGCACTACTAGAGACCCCAGAGAATATAAGTCTGGGGCTACAGGTTAGATTGAGCCATTAAAAAGAAAATTGCTAGGAGAAGACAATAGCAAACTCTACATTATTCTCAAGAAAACCACACAGATTTGTCTAGAAATGTGAAGTGGTTTCAGTTGGAAGGTTAAAAAAAACAGGTAATGCCACACCTCTTGGTGACTCTTTAAAGCCCAGGAAAAGCCACAACTCCTTTAAGGATGTGCCAAGAGATGCAAGCACATTCACTCTGAAGCACTTTTTCAGGTTTTGGATCCAAAGAGTTCTACATTCCTAGACATGTTCATACATTCACCAGAAATTTATATCAACTAGAAAATCTTGACTTTATAACCATAGAAATTTTGTCATTCATTTTGGTATGTGAAAATCTTTGTTTCTAGACAAGGAAAAATTCCCATTATTTCCCTTCTTTTATTAGATTGTTAAAAGTCTTTTGTCATAGCAATCATAAATATGAGTAGAATAGAATAGAATAACAGAGTTGGAAGGGACCTTAGAGGTCTTCTAGTCCAACCCCCTACTTAGGCAGGAAACCCTACACCATTTCAGACAAATGGTTATCTAACATCTTCTTAAAAACTTCCAGTGTTGGAGCATTCACAACTTCTGGAGGCAATATGAAATAATTGATAGCTGAGTCTTAATGCTCTTGTGAAAATTCCCATTTTGAAAATTTCATATATTTTATGTTATGACAGAGTGAACAAGAGTGTGTTACTCTATATATCGACATGGGGTCTTTGGTCTAATTTCATGTAATTTTAGTCTGCTTCCAAAGCCCTCTGTAAGAGGTTATTTCCAGCCTCTAGTAAGTGATGTATGTTCTTTCTTTGCAGGAAAAGAGAACGAAAGGTATCGGAGAGAGACAAAAAACAGAGTACTGAAAAGAACAAGGAAGAGCTTCAGAGACAATAGGTAGCCCGCTTTCGTACAAATCTCTTCTGACCACCCACTCCGCCCCATCTGTTAGGGGTCCCCATGGGAATGTGTTCCCTCCTAAGATTGTTTTTAGCAAAGATGAAAAGGAAGACATAATTGCTATTAGAACAGTGATACTGTAGATTCCCAAGGAGAATTAAAAATTAAGTAGACTCATTGATGCCTAAGTTTAAAAAGCAAATGTTCCAATCTGGCCAATTTTTTTCATTCTTTGCTAAACTGGAACTGATGGAAGCAATTAAGATGTTAAGATTATTGCAAAGTGTGCTCTTTGGAGTATAAATTATTAATACAAAAGGAAAAAGAAAACAGTCACTAAGTCAATTAAAAAAGAAATATATACTTACTTTCCATCTTTAAAATAAGTTTTCAAAGTGTCACTGAAACTTTTGGAGTATTTTACAAATTCTTTCTTTTGGTGTTCAAGTGCCTGAAAAAGTTTATGTAAATAAATAGTAATTAAAATTTTCATTTTTCTCAAACATCGTATTTTTTAGTCAATGAACACAGAACAAGATGAGAAAAGGTATACAGTAAATGATGGAAGTGGCAAAATTCACCATTTAAATGATGAAAATGTGCTTCTACAAGTGACTTTTGCTTAATGTTTGTAAAGTATTAATTCTACAAACAATAAGAATTATATTAAACCTTAAAGCAGTCATTATTGTTTAAAAATCCACATAGACTGAAAAATCTCTATTCATCATCATGATTGTCTTTTTATTTGCCAGTTTGTATTAATTGAAAAATTATGTTTACAGTTCATATTATCTGAGCATGAAGCTGCGTATATTTGTAATGCTTGTGCTTAATTATATTTCTGATGCGGCACTATAGTAGAAATTAAGTCACATACCCTCCGGTTCTGATATTGGTATTTCTTGAAGACATTATTTACTGTATCGAGAAGTTCCTTTATTGCACTGGCAATGTCCCTGTTTGGTAATGAAAATATAATTGCAATTTTTAAAGTGAAGCTGCAGAATTTTAATCACTTTCAAAATTATGTTTGAAATGTATTTCTAAAAGATTTCCTGTCATATATAGTGAGTTTTAGATATGCACAGCAAGATGAAACAACAAGAGCTAATTAAATTATATGGCACTTCAAAATCTAAATTATGTTTAATGCATTCTTCATACGTGGAAAACTAGCATCTGGAAATTACAGAACAATACTCTGAAGCAGCAGGAGCCTTGTCTTACCTATACAATCAAAGGCCTTTCCCTGGAACAATTTTCAATATGTATAGTTATAAATTGCATAGATTTGACTTTTGATATCTTAGACTGAATAAAGAAAGATTGCTCTGATCTACTTTGAACTATCTTGAAAGTATTGTTCTCATGAATTGAGGCTAAAATCTTGTCTCATCCATCTTTATTTAAATAAAAGTAAATGTTATTTAATTAAAGTTACACTAACTGGAAAAAAAACCTGTCCATAGTATATATTCCTGAAATAATTCAATGGCAACTATCTTTGGTCCTAAGATTAATGGATACAATTTCATCTAGATTTGAAGCTTACAATATAATGAAACCACTCTGTGTGGGAGTAAGAGAAAGAAATCATTTAAGAGAGAAAAGGCAGTTTAATCTACAGAGAGGATAAAACTCTTATTTACAATATTAACTTAAAACCACTGCTAAGTTGAAAACAGAGTTTGGAAAAAATCTTCTACCATGGTTGCTTGTCTTTTGGGTCGCAGGGGTGTGTCAATTGTCATCTGCCTAACCTTTTATTTGATGAACATCCTTCAAAATGTCCCTTTTGGGACATGTCTGTATTAATATCAGTATCTCTGTTTTATGTGTGAGGAAATTAAAACTAATATTTCCCCATGGACTTTTCAAACTGATCCAGGAGAGGAAAGCCCTGAGTCCACAGCAATATATATATATATGAGCACTTTGCTCCAATCAGTAAACATTTGCATTTTGTTTCACTCATGAAGTAATACAGAAAATCTCTCAATGTATTATTAAAGAGAAGACTTTATGGAAGATATTTATATCAAAATAAACTTATGAACAATTCAAATTTATATAGATTGACTCTAATCTCAATAACTAGGTGAGGAGGTTACATAAACCCATATATTCAATTATTTGAATGTATAAATTGTCTTTGGCAGATACTTTAGGTTTTTAGTTGAAACAGTTGTGGGTTTAAATTTTTTGCTAGATGCTCTGAGTTGCATTGGTGAGTGGGCAACCAGGTAACTAATCCAATAGACAATTAATTCTATAGTTCTCTGTTAACTTGCATTGCACAGGATTTTCATTACTGGACTGAAGAAAAGGCTCTTTTAATTCCTATAGCAATGCATGTGGAGTATGAAAACCTCACTAATGAGGTACCTGAGCTACTAATAACTGAAATCACTATAAAATTCTGTATTTTACATTATAATCTTCTACACAAGAGTTATAAAGAAGCAATGAACTCACACAGACATCTATCTCTTTTATTGAGTTGAATCCTAGAAAAATGAACTCCAAGAAAAGAAAAAAGTCTTCCTCTTACAACTTTAGATAAAACCCAGATGAGAGCATGCATTTTTCTATCATGTCTCTAATCTTCTGGGCATTACCATGGCTTACTAAAATGTTGCAGATAAGGAAAAAAAATGTATTCGTATTCTACGATAAAGTACACGTGTAATTTTATTTTCTAGTAGTCTTACTGTCCACCGATCTTGAACAAAGGAATCAGAAAATTTCTGATAATTAACTCTACAAATGGAATTAAATTAAAATTAATGAGTCGGATTTACACAATTACATACAATGAGCCCCTGCATTGCATAGCTCCGTGATGGCGAACCTATGGCACGCGTGCCACAGGTGGCACGCAGGGCCCTCTCTGCGGGCATGCAAGCTGCCGCCCCAGTTCAGCTCTGCTGAGTGCGTGCGTGCCTCCTGCCGGCCAGCTGGTGTTTGGGTCTTTGCTGCGCATGCACAGGGGGGCAGGGCGTATGCGGGAGATGCATATGCATGTGCGAGGAGTGGGGTACATGTGTGGGAGATGCATGCACGTGGGGAGTTCATGCACGGGGGTGTCGCACATACATGCACGGGGACAGGGTGCATGCGTGCATTGAATTATGGGTGTGCGCACACTTGCTCTTTCAGCACTCGGCGCAGAAAAGGTTAGCAATCACTTGCATAGCTATTTAAGCATCAGCTTCATGGTTTTTGATTTTGAAAACTCAATAAACTATGGACAGTGATATACCGTATTTTCCGGCGTATAAGACGACTTTTTAACACATGAAAATCTTCTCAAAAGTCGGGGGTCGTCTTATATGCTGGGTGTCGTTCTCCTGTAACCAGGCAGACCAGCCCAAAAGGCTCTGACGAGCCTTAAATGGCTCTGGCGATCCAAGCTCTGACGATCCCAGCTGCGTTGCCTGCTAATCATGTAAAAGGAAAAAAGTTTTCCCCCTCCAGCTTGCTTACCTTAGCTGCTAGTCGCAACGCTTGCCTTGCTTCGCTTGCCTGAATCCATTCCATCAGCAAGCCACTCCCTGCCTGCAATCAAGCAGGCAGGGAGTTGAGGACTTCAACTCCCAGAATTCCTCAGCCAACAAAACAAAGCTGGCTGAGGAATTCTGGGAGTTGAAGTCTACAAGTCTTAAAGTTGCCAAGGTTGGAGACCCCTGTTCTATTGGGTAAGTTTTTTCCCCCTTTGGGAGCTTTAAAAAAAATTAATTAATTGGGTTTTTTTTAGTTGTTCTTTTTTAGACCTAGCCATTTAAAGTTTAGGAAGTTTTAAATTTAGTTTTCATATAAAAATAAAAATAAAATAAAATAAAATAATATTTGTGCAGCTTTCTGAGATTTAGTGTGTTTCTGTAGTGTTTCACTCTAACTACACAAACACATAAAATCTCACAAAGCTGTATGTGGAATTTTGTGTGTGTAAAGTGTGAAAGTTGTTTTTTTGGGCTTTTTGTGGCTGTGTGAGGTTCCTGCTTGTTGCAGGGGCCATTTTGGGTCTAGCACAGCTGCTTTTACATTGTGGGTGAGCCAGTTGTGTTGTGTTGTGTTGTGTGTGTGTAAAGTCTGAAAGTTGTTTTTTTGGGCTTTTTGTGGCTGTGTGAGGTTCCTGCTTGTTGCAGGGCCATTTTGGGTCTAGCACAGCTGCTTTTACATTGTGGGTGAGCCAGTTGATGTTTTTTAATTTTTATTTGGTGTGCGTTGGAAGAGGGGTAGTCTTATACGGCGAGTATAGCCCAAACCCTATATTTTAACAGGAAAAGTCGGGGGTCGTCTTATATGCCCAGGCGTCTTATACGCCGGAAAATACGGTAATCCAAAATGTGAAAGGAGACTCACATACATCTTTTTTGATGGCAATTCTGGATACATTATGTGTACTAAGAGATCTATCTATTTGAATTCTATCTATCTATTCAAGGAGCAATTGGACATTTGAAAAACCTCCATAAGTAGTCATTAAAACAAGCATAGTGCTGCAGATAGGGAAAAGATTTTAAGATAAGATGATCTCAGTTTCTAAACCAAAAAGGAAGAAAACAGCTCCCAAATAAGCACAGGGAACTTAATATGTATGAAGGCTATTGCTTAACGCACTGTAAGCCGCCCTGAGTCTCCGGAGAAGGGCGGCATATAAATCAAATTAAAAAAAAAAAAATATATCCAGAGCATGATAAAAATTTCTGAGCAACGGGGAATAGGATTCAAAACCACTGCAATTTTAGGTGAGAGAAGACTGGAAAGTGCAATTTATAAAAGAGGGGCAACTCACCAAGATGACTTATAAGATTTCAGGTCTGATGCAGCATTACTGCCACAGGATTATGTTGTTAGAAATAAAAGGATTTAACTACAAAGGGCACAGAATAGGGATCACTGACAGAATTGCTATAGCTATAATATCCACGGTTATTACTCCAGCAGCTAAAACCAACCCACAGCTTGGCCTTTCAATAGTAAGCAAGCATTCATTTTGAAGCAAAAATTCTGTGAAACGAAAACAGCAATTTTATAAAATATTGGTAATAATCAGAATTACAGTGCAAGCCAAAAATGTATTTCTTCTATAAATATAAAGCCACAGCTGGTCCAAGAAGTCACACTTTAGAATAGCTTTTTAGTTTGATTAGTATTTACTTGATTGTCTGAAGAAACCTCACTCTGTCATTGATCTCATCTGGAATCTTGCTGAGAATCTGTTTAAGTGCTCGTGCCTTTTCATTGAGGTCTTGGAATTCGGGCTCTGGCCTTTCAATCATGTACTCTGGGGGGAGAAGGAAGAAAATATAAATAGATTTCTCTAAGTAAGTTATAAATTAAACTTAAAAGGGTTGGCAACATCCTTAACCATGTTAAAATTAAACAAGCAACAAATAAAAACACTAAATTAACCCCAACTCTATTTTGTAAAGAAAAGACTATTGATTTCTAATGATGTAATCAATATAATGTCAGCCAAAACTGAACTATTTAGAGTAACCTTCTTAAAGCACAATTTATGAGAAGTACCCCAGGTATATTAGAGACATTTCAGAGTCATGAAAACTAATGCATGAGATGAAACTTTTTCTTTCTAAAGCTTCCTTGAAATTCTGAAGGTTGGATCTTGTTTCTGAGTAAAGACGACAGAGGTGAGAACTATAGGAAATTGGCTAAACATACATTTTGTTCCATTCCCAAGAAATTTCTTCCACCCATTTTTTTGTATTCAACCTCTTTAACTCTTCCCCCATGCTATCATCTACTCTATGGCCTTTTTAAAAAGTTATAATGTCATGTCTTTTGGGTCGTCTCCCCCCCCTCAGGTACCATGTTTCCCCGAAAATGTAACCTTAGAAAGTAAGTCCTAGCTTGATTTTTTACACGTGCACCCAGTGTAGTACAGGGGTTTAAGGCACCCTGTTATTAAGCTGGTTATTAAGACCAGCTGCCTGCAATTACTGCAGGGTTCGAATCTCACCAAGGCTCAAGGTTGACTCAGCCTTCCATCCTTTCTAAGGTAGGTAAATTGAGGACCCAGTTGTGGGGGCAATAAGCTGACTTTGTATAAATATACAAAAGGATGAAGGCTATTGCTGAGCACATTGTAAGCCGCCCTGAGTCTTCGGAGAAGGGCGGCATATAAATCAAATTAAAAAAAAAAAAAAAGTCCTACCCCCAAAATAAGCCCTAATTAAGACCCCCCCCCCATTCCAGGGTGCACAGGTAAAAATTAAGCTAGGGTGGGGATGGGAAGGTGAAGCTGCCATAATATTTACCTTTGGATAGTTGCAGCCGGGCCTGTCATACCTTGGCCCATTTCTTTTGCTGCAGCAGGCAAGGCTTTCCTGAAGGCCTCTGGAGCCGATAACAGAACTTCAGATTGATCCAGAGCTCTGTTATCGGCTGAAGACACCTTTCCTAAAGGCTTCTGATAGAGAAAAAGAGGCTGGGGGCAACGCACGCAAGTGAGGCGAGTCAGTGGACGACATCCTCCCCCCCGAAAATAACACCTGGTGCCTTTTTTGATGGCAAAAAATATAAGACAGGATCTTATTTTGGGGGAAACACAGTAAGTCTAGCACAGAGCCACCAAGCTACAAGAATTATCAAAAGAAATATGACCATGGATATATAATTTACAATATATAACAGTAAATGTAAAGACTGAAGTGACAATCTAGATATTCAGCTGTGTTTATGAACAAAACAGAAATAACAAACTTTTTTTAAAAAAATAAACCCATCTAAACCTAATGAGGAAACAGCCACTGATAAGAAATACCTTCTACATCATCCGCTGCCATGCGCAAGAGAGATTCAGTAAAATTAACTTCAATGCTTTTCTTCTCCAAAATTTTTATGATAATATCTTGTGTGAGACCTGGGTTTTCCCTTTCTGCCTGTATTTCAAAGAGAGATTTCAGATTTCTTCTGACAAATTGAAAGTAAAGAACAGCTTCAAAGAAAGCTACAATATGAACTTTTAAGACATTTGAGTAGAACTGGCTTATCATAAACATTGATTTTGCACTGCCTTTTTTTCCTCCAGACCGTATTTCTTGAACTAAATCAATATTTTCACCTGTAATTTGGCCCAGCCTTTTTTTTATTATATCTTTGCAGTATTTATTTCTGTGAATCATTCCTTTTTCTTCTATCTTTCACACTAACTGAAATAGACAGTCCTCAGGTTACAACCCTAACTAGGACCAGATATGCAGTTACTAAGCAAAGTGGTTTAAAAAAAATGTTACATGATTGCACAACTGAGCAATGGGAATTCTGGCAACCCTTGAGGGCATTAGATGAGGACTGTGTGGCCATTAAGCAAGGTCCTCTTGATTCTCCAGTCTCCTTCCTGATTGGGGCCAGCAAGTTCTCTTGGGCTCCACCTCCCTGCTTCGCTCACCATGCAGATCCTGAGACTGCAACCTCACCCAGCCCGAGGGTCAGCAATAGGAGAAAAGTGATGATGAAGGTCAGTTGGTGGCAGCAGCAGCGGGGGTAGGTGGTGGAATACAGGGCAGTCAAAAAGGCACAGATGGGGGATGGATAGGCACATGGGGGAGCTGAAGCAGACGCAGTTTGAACAGGGCAGGAGAATACGACTATGGGACATTGTGATCAGTTGTAAATGTGAGTTGATTGCCAAGCACCCAAATTTTGATCCCATGACTGTGGGGCTGATACAATAGCTAGTATTCCAAGAGGTAGTCATAACTACAATCCATTCAGCAATACTGTAAATTTGAACAGTTGTTGGATGAATGCGCATAACTCAAGTAAAAACTGTAAAAACTTTTTGTTTCCTTATGACAGGGGTGTCAAACTGGTGGCCCACAGGCCGGATGCGTCATGCACAGGCCATGCCCACCCCAGGTCCGCAAAGGGGAAAAATGTCACAAAATGTCATGTGACAGCAAAGTGATGCCACAAGTTTGACACTTGTACCTTATGACATGAGCTAAATGAAATTAAGAAAGACAGTAATCTTCACTGTTTTCACTTATTTTTCAAGTTACATCAGAATTATTCTTTAAAACTATCCATAAGTTAGATAACTTGGATAAATAACAAACAAGCAAGATATCAGACATTACATTGTCCCCAAATGCTGCAAAACCTCATTTTTTCTGAATTCCCTATTTCTTTTTTAAGAAACATGTCAGAGTGGTACTCATTTTTTAGGCTTAAAAAGATTGTGAAATAGAGGCAGTTGCCAGGTTAAGAACAAGTTCCATTCTTCAATCTCCCTTTAAATTGAATTTGTATCTAAGTCGGAACTCATACTTACAAACAAATTGCCAATTACTAAAAATGGTGGATGGCATTCTCTCCGTCTTTGAGCTGACAAATTTCTGAAGCCACACAATGTTTTCATAAACTACTAAAACCAGACTATATATAAAAATGTGTATCAGACGTCTATGCACAGATTCACTGGTTTATCGACTCGAGGAAGGATAATACTATCTACCATTTTTAGCAATAGGCAGCCTGTTTGTAAGCATAAATTTATTTTATTTTATTTGTCATATTTCTATGCTGCCCACTCTCCGAGAACTCTGGGCGGCTTACACCGAAGACAGTAAAGTAAATAGCATATTGCCCCCAACAATCTGTATTATCTGTAAATTGGACATTATTAATCCCGGGAATGCCTGTACAATCATACACTCGATGACATAAACTATGGGCCAAGATTTTCTTCGGATAACTTTAGAAGACAAATTAAAATGATTTTAATTGTCTCAATTATAAATTAGAGAAACTATTTTCAACCAACATACTTCTGACTTGGTAAAGAATATCAAGATACTATCCAGCAATATGAGTTGGCTGATCACAGGAAACTCAAGTCATCTAAGTAGTTGATGTTTCTTGCATCACTGAAGCACAAGAGAAACATGAAGGTGAAAAGCCCTTCTTTTAATACTGAACTTCAAAAGCCACAAAACCATCATCAACATCAATTTTTGGACACGTATGTACTTGAGAGCATCTGTGAAGGAGCTTTGTGATCTCTTCAGCAGTCTTTTACTGAAGATATATGTTCAGGGTGGGACTTTTCACACTGTTCCTTTCCTAGACCTTCACTGCCAACAAGAGAAGTACCATGAGGATCTCAGGATAAAGGACTTAGGTGAAAAGGAGAATCTTTCTGAAGTTTAAAAGGCTTCATAACATTTTACTGTATCTTTCTGTTACCTGATTTTAAATGAACATGGACATAAATGAAACATAACCATTGAGTTAATTATCTTAATTGCAGCTTATTCTTTAAATTTAATATTAAGCTATTATCAACTCTGAGTATATCTATTTCTGCAAAATAAGGTGTATAAATAAACTGACTGACTACACACATTTTACTTAGACTATACAAGCATTTAATGGTTTTTAAAGTAAGAATTAGTAACTAAATCTATTTTGCAGAATTTTACAATATTTTAATGTTTATATCTTAATATAAAATATTCATATTTTGGTGTTATATAAGTAAATATATATTATTCTCACCTTAATAAAAGCTGCTCTCAATGTTTGAGCTGCTGATAGATTTACTCGTTCTAGCTGCAAAAAATAGAAATAAACAGTTATACCAAAAGTAATAAGAGGTTAAAGTACATTATCATTATTATTAATATTTCTAAGGATTTTTATTGATCTGGATAAGATTTTTGCAGCTCAGGCACACTGGGCTGTTTCTTTCAGATGAGAATACTGCAAGCCTCTTATAAGCATAAAATAATCATATCCAATAAAATGAATCTGTGAAATAATCTGAAGTCTGAAAAAGTTTTGCTGTCATGTTCTGCCATAACTTGTGACTCAGGATGTGTGGACTACAATTCCCAACCAGCATGACTATTCCTGAAAATTCTGGGCAGATGAAATCCACACATTTGGAACATATAAATAGATACACCATTTAACAGATAAATGTTTGTATAACAGATGATGCTCTATGAAATCTGCCTATATACTACTGATATAGGTGTCAGGGAAAACAAACATGAATAACTCTATGGAGGGAGAAGATGACAAGCCAAAAATATAGTCTTTTTTATTATTATTATTTTAGACTGTCTGATCAAGATAAATAAATGTGCAACAATGACACCATTTCTATGAATACAGAAAATATGAATATTTTCTTGATAAATTACCAAAGAAAGACCATCTCGTTTTCATTTGTTCAAAGTCTAAATACATTTATTGTTTCTCATCTAAACAAACAGATTATGTAATGTTTAATAGAAAACATTTCTATAAAACCAAGTAGCTGCAAAAAGCATAAACCTTTCCACCTTATAAAATATGTCTGCCTAATCTGGAATATTAATTAAACAACGAACTCTACATTCCAGTCTCTTGTATAATGCTGGAATGCATCTTGGGAGTTTATAAATGTAGAATATAATACTCAGAATTAAGGAATTAAATGCCAACAAACCAAGCAGTCTGTTATGAAGCCAAGAAATATGGACAGAAAGGAAGCAGAACTCATAAGGAGAAAATGAGTACTAATATAAGCAAGATAGTAGCTGAGTTAAATAAAACTTCGTTTCCCAAGTACTATAATGCAAAGAAAATAAAATTGAACCTATTACCTCATTAAAGACAGGATACATAACGGCATAAAGAGGCATGGAAACCATAGAAGTGGTCTCTGCTTCATTCCTCATCTCTTCCATTGTCATCCTCATTCAAAGACCCACTCTTGAAGAAAAAGGCTACTGAAGCAACAGATTCCTCATTCAACTACAGCTATATTTTTTCTCCTTATTGTAGTTAGATGTTTATAATATTCAGAATACGTAGCTCTGAAAAAAGAAGATAGAGAGAAAAGTTCATTACTAGATGTACCAGTTTTGAAACAACCAGTACCAAAATAGTTTTATCAGCAGTGTTGGCATAGCCTATATTCACTTAATTCTTCGGTAAAAACTATTAAATGGTTCATTTAGTTGGCAACTTGTAAGTAATTAACACAGTTATTGCAGTAAATTCTCACTTGTGTTTCTTGAAAAGAGCAACAGAAATCTGAAATGTCTTTAAACTACTAAAGAATACAACTTCTATTTTTAACGTTTTCGGCAATAATTATTCACCAGTGTTAGTAAGCATAGTCATATGTCATAGCAACTTAGGTGGAAAGAGATGTGAGAGACTTGAAAGAACAAGTAATCTACCAGCATAAATGCCAAAGTTAAGACTGGATATCTATACAGTATTGTAAAAATATACTCAAACCTCTAAATCATTGGTTGCTTTAAACCAAAGAGAAATCTGACATTCCATTTCTACCCAAGATATGCCAGCAATTAATTGCTCAATCATAGTAATGATTCATACGTACAAATGTATCATACTGTTATCTAATAACACTAGATGGCTCAGTGGCTCAAGAAATAGTTTGACACTCCGGCGGTTTGAGCTCTGGTAGCACTGCAGAATGGGGTGATCTCCCATCACTCACCTCTAGCTCCTGCCCTCTCCAACCAAGCATTATTGAGAATAGATAAATGTGTATCACTCTGGTGGGAAAGGCTAGCCACGAGGAGCTGGCATTGAACCTGCCTGGATATGAAGTGAAATTGGCAAAAGAAGCCCGGAAGATGTCATCAACCTGAACTGTGCTAGCTAGTTCCCTCCTGTGGCGCACCGTGGATAAATGTGCAGGCGTAAAACCGAAGAAACTAGCAATTAGATTGTCAGGACTACTATTCTATAAAGTGTGGACAAATGTATGCCGTACAAAATAAATAAATAGTGTTAGCTGTTGAAATAAAAAAATGATATGCAATTTATATATATAGAAGGAAGGAAGGAAGGAAGGAAGGAAGGAAGGAAGGAAGGAAGGAATTAAAGATATGTGATTAAAAATGGGTGAATCTGTATGTGCATTTATGTATTGGGACTGTGGCCAGGTTAGCTTGCCCCAGAAAACTGATGTATCTGGTTGGTTTCAAAAGGAAGATTGGAGTTTTCCCTGGGGATCTGGCAGATAATTTGGTTGAAGCCTTAAATGTTAATACTACTTTTATTGCAAAGGTTATAGTAACATAATTTTGCATTTTCCCCCTGCCTTTATCTTCATGAGAACTAAGGAGGGTCTTTTTTGAGATGTTTACTCAGATTGCAATTCTGGCCCAAACTCAGATTTATTTTATCTGACCAGTCTTGGTTGCAACTCTTTTTCCTATTTGTCAAGGTAATCCCTTTTTTCTCATTACACTTAATCTTGTGCAAAGTGATTCTGTTAAAATCCTCTACAAATCTACATTGGAAGGCACCGATTCAAGCTCAATCGCTGAGAATATTTGGGCTCCCTGGGTCTAAGGATTTTCCATCTTTGATCTTGGGTGAGGTTGCAATTCTTTATTCAAGAAGAGTGTGTAAACTAGTTGTATTCATAACTCCAGCTCAAGCAGCAGGTGACAGCTGTGGCTAAGACTGCCTCTGCACACATACACCTAATGATCACCTGTGCCCATTCCTGAACTATGAGACAATCCCTCATGTCTTATTCACTTTATAAATGGTTTATTGTTCATACATTCTACATGGACCTGCCCTTAATAACCACTCAGAAGCTACAGTAAGTCAGAGTGCAGCAGCATAGGCAGCAGTAGGCATAACTTGTTATATCCATGTGACTCCACTGCTTCACAAGCTGCAAGGTTGGGGACACATGATGTATGAAGCCCTTCATGATATAGGCCAGGACTGTCAAACTCCCGACCCGCGGGCCGGATGCGTCACGCACTGGCCATGCCCACACCTGGTTTAGTGAAGGAAAAAAATAATCCTGATACGTCACATGATGCTGCCGTGACAACACGAGTTTGACACTGCTAATATAGGGTTTGATTTTTTGAGGGATTACCTGTCTGGTTCTTTCTGAGCATCAGATTAGATCTGGCAGAGTGGCTGCAGTCCGGGTCCCAATAATTAAGTAGTGTTATCTAGTGAAAGCCAGAAACATACCTTCTCAGTTACAGGGCCTGCCTTCCAAGAGATCCAGATGGCTCCCAACCCAATGACTTTAAAGAATCCATTGACCTGGCTATTTTCCCAGGTTAATTAACGAGTCCCTATTGGATGTTTTTTTTTTTTAATACAGATAGTTCTCGTTTAGATACCACAATTGAGACCAGCAACTCGGTTATTATATGAAGCAGTCACTAAATGAACGCAATTGTGCTTATGATCTCACTATCACTTTCCTTTGCTTTACAGATCTGCAAAGGTCATAAATATAAAAAATTGGTTCTAACGTTATTTTTTCATCATCAGAATAACTGGAAATGGTCACTAAACAAGACAGTCACTAAATGAGGATTACCTGTATATTTGTCTTCAGACTTCTTAGGTTATCTTTGCTCCCCACCCCCCAACACTTTTGTATTTTTCTTGTTTAATTGTAAGCCAGACAATCAGGCAGCTTCTAAATTTGTATAAACAGGACACATATCAGAACCAATTTACTGAATCAAATACCATTCAATAAACATTTCCCTCTCTATTCTTGTAAACATTTTTGCTTCCACATATATGTATTTTAGAAATTCTTTTTTGTTCTTCTCTTTTTAAAGGTTCTCTTTAATTCCATCCATCTACAACTTTCTCAGATTTCCTCTTAACTTGTTCATTTTTCTTTCATATATTTGATTTTCACTCATTCTGACTATATGACAAAATTAACTCATTTCTTCTGTCACAAGCCATTAGTTATGTATTCCACATTAATTCACCCTTCATTTATTCTTGATCCTAGTACTTGTTTACAACACACACTTCTTATGTACTCCATTTCCACTGTTATTATAATTTTATGGTTCCCTTGGCATACCAAATAACTTCCATATAACAAGTCAGGATAAAACACACTAATCTTATACAAACCATTTTCTTTTTTAATGAACATTTACAATATATGTCATAATATAACACACACTACTTTTCTACCAATATTTGCACCTCTTAAAAGTTCTGCATCCTTTCCCCCTCTTTTGTAAATATTATACCAAAGCACATTAATTTATCTACACTGTTCTATCCGTCTGTCTGACTGTCTATCATTCCATTTTTTTCTGTCAAACATCTTATTCTTGGATGCATTCATATTCATATCCACTCCATATTTTTTAAATCAATCTAACATTTCCTGAAAGCACTCAGGTTCTCAGCCAGCAATATAGTAGAATTTGCATTAAAATATATATATTCATGTCCCTAACCAACATATCCCTGACTTCACTTCAAGCATCCATATCTTGCTCCTTGCTCATCCCTACCATTTACAGGTAACTGAGGTAGTCCTCAGTTAACGACTACCCACTCAGTGACCATTGAAAGTTACACTAAGTTATAGTGAACAAGGGCTCTTACATGGTCCTTGTAGTTGCAGCTGCAGTTTCTCTACAGTCATGTGATTGTGGTTTTCGTACTTGACAACTAGCTTATTTATTTATTTATTAGTTCAATTTATATGCCGCCCTTCTCCGGAGACTCAGGGCGGCTAACAATGCGTTAAGCAATAGCCTTCATACTTTGTATATACCTGCTTAATAGGGCTTCCCCCCCCCAGAGGTGTTCTTTTTTATACAAAGTCAGCTTATTGCCTCCTCATTTTACCTACCTCGAAAGGATGGAAGGCTGAGTCAACCTTCAGCCTGGCGAGATTCGAACTTGCAGTAATGGCATTCTCCCAATCATGGTGCAGTCTTTACACACTCATTACACACAAGTTGCATAACTATTCCATAAAAAAAATTGTACAGGTCCACCATTCACACCTGCAGCCTTACTCCTTTTCCCCTCCTTGGACACTAAGCATTTATTTCAATTCCATTTTTAATATATCAGTATTATTCCCATGCAAATCTCTTAAATACTTCAGTGTCGTCCCTTTTAACTCTCTTATATGCATTTTTCTCACCTATACCTTCTTTCATTTTATTATTCTACTTCTACTATGGAACTTTTAAACTAAATCTTTTCATTCTGTTTGAAACACCTTCCATCTCCCTTTTTTTATACCCAATTTCCATTCATTTTGTTAGATTTTTTTATCATATATTTTCATACATAACTTGTACTTTCTCTTCCTATAATCTTTCTATTTCACTCTAGCTCATTTCACTTTCCTTCCACATCCACTTTTTTCCAGATATCTGCTCTTAATATAATCAACAAAATACTGTCCTACATTCAAAATATTTTAGTTCTTTTGTATCCTTCATTGATTATCTCAATCTTTTTATCAAATCAATCATGCTTTAAAATATTCATTCCTTTGCTGTGCATACATATAAATGGCTTAGACTACAGATTCAAAACTAACAGATCTCTTTAAAGCAAATACTTTGCTATTGCCCTTATTTCTCCAATGACTGCTTCTGTACCTTCTCATCTCATTCCCAACTATCCATTCATGTCCCATAGCAAAATAATTTTTCTTTTGGATTGTACTCACTCTGAACGTTGCCCATAATGCTTTTTAGCAAGACAAAGATATAGATGAGAAGCTATATTAGACCTTTGCCACGTGAAGCAGTTAAAAAGTATTAGAAATTACCACATGAAGACTCACTGTTAACTATGGATTCTCACAAAATTTTTAGGGTCAAGTTCAAAATGCTAATAGAATTTCAGTCACCTCTATCTATAAGTCACCCAACACAAACCTAGAATGTGAAACAAGGGTTTTACTAATCTACAGAAAGCCATGTCTTGTGCATCCTGATTAGATGAAATTGCTTTCCATTCTATAAATGTACTTTCAGAAAAAACTGCAGTGCTAGATAAAAAACATGAT